CTATAGTAATCAGCCGTTTACTTTTTATTATTAATATTGATTTAGGTATGTGGGCAATTTGGATCATGCTGTGTCGGAAGATTTATTGTGTGCCCTGTTTTCGCATATTGGCAGCGTTAGAAGTTGCAAGGTCATCAGAGAGGTAAGTCTTTCTTAATATAATTGATATTTATGTGAAGTATTTCGAAAAATCATCTTATAATTGTACAAAATATCTTGAAACATTGTGAATTAGTAGCTAATAACACAAATATAATGTCGCACAACGCAACATTATAATATTATGTTATAGACAATAATGGACACTTTCTATTTATTTCGGCACGATCGATTTTTACCCATCAAAGTTACACCTGCGAATGATTTCGTCCATTTACATGACATGTTATCATGGTCGGGAAGCGGGCCGAGACAAGCCAGTTTCTCTCTTGTGATCTGCGAGCTCCACCCTCAAAGATCATATCGTTTGCACGAAAGCCCGCATTAAAGCAGGCAGTTCTGTCGTTATATCGATAGTCGCGAGTTGTAGGTGAATATACATCTTACTCAACGTTACACTGCATTAATAGTCGCTTAGCTCTCGGAACGAAATATGATCTCTTCATTCTCCATGATCTCTTCATTCTTTAATGTCAGTTTAGTGAAACGTTAATTTAATTTTTAAAAGAATTTTTTATCTGAAAGCAATTGATATAATTTCATTTTAATTTTAACTTTGCTATAAAAATATGTGCAACAATAAAAATCAAAATAAATTTAACAAAGTATATTCCACAGTTAATTCTTGATAAAGTAAGGAAAATAAGAGAGCTATATTTTGGATATGCTCTTTGATTAGTAATTCCACACAGACCGATATTGCACTTCTTAAAGTTAAGTATGATTTTAAGAAAATGAACGAAGTTATGAAGAAAGTTATGAGAGAAAGTTATGCTACAAATCAAATTACAAACTACAATTTAAATTAATAAATTTACACCAGAATAATACAATTTTCAAATCTTAAACCACATTAATCTGTAAACAATAGATACACTTGCATTTTTATTGTTATTAAAAATGTTCTTACGAAATTTATCCTTTAATTTAATGAAGGCATATCTTCTCAAAGTATATCTATTCAAAGTGTATCCCTTCTCTTGATTTATAAAATTATGTGATTAAATAAATATAACCATTATTTCCGAAAGAATTATACATTTCTGAAAAAAATTAACATTAAGAATCACAAGTTAAGAATTAATGTTCTTTGAGTAAAACCAGGATTTAGCAATCTATCAACAAAAGGAAAATTAACAAGTTACTTTACTCCAAGAAATAATAGTGTTTTGCAGAAACATGCGCCTACGTATACGCTTTACATGAATGCACGAAAATAACAGTCAGACAGAAACGTAAACGCCCACGAATGTAATTACTAAACAGCATGCGGACAAACGCACGAGGGCATCAAACACCGAGGTTTGTACACTTTTCTCCTTGATTCGCGTAAGATTTAACCTCTCACTTATTTCCCTCTATCTCTCTCAGCTCGTTATATACTATTTTCCTTCTATACTGGTTAGTTGCATGCTCCAACGAGATATACACAGATATACGCTCGTTGCACGATGCGGTTTCGTGCGACGTAACACTTGTTCATCATCCACCTTCGTGTATACGTCACACAAAGTTTTTTTCCCCTCATCGTCACTGTTCTTCCCTTGTTTCCTACCGCTCTTTATTTTTCTTCCTTCATTAAGCAGCAAGTATATAAGCGATATGCTGGCTATTACGGAAGATATTATGTGGCTCGGGAAGTAATATTAGAGCACAAGGTATGTCAGACTCTTTTTTTTCGTGCGTTATTTACGATTGAAAAAACTAAAAGAATAAGTTGCGGGGGATAAATAACACAAATTAAAAGTGTCATTTTTCATATGTATCGTTTTTTCTTGATAATTATTAAAATTTTGACTAAATTTCAATCAGTACTTTGGTAAAAATGTTATGTATTTGATAAGTAACTAATCTAAATTTTTACGAAACAATTGCGCATAGGTATATTGTTTACATGCTTGTGTATAACATATATGCCTTCTATTATTATTTTATACAAATTTAATTTAAATTAGCATGATATAAAAACAGTAATAGCATTATTTGATTTTTTATTTCTAGCACGTCATTAATTAAACATTTTCCCAAAATTTTGAATTAAATTAGTTACTTTAATTTTATATTTTGCAAATTTGTTTTATATTTTTGTAGGATTATATTCTTTTTGGCACGTAATTAATATATATTTCAAGCAGAATATCTTATTTAAATAATTTTCTGCGCTAGTATTATATATCTTGTATAAGATTTCATACTTACGCACATATGATACAACTTGTATTATTAATAAAAAATGATAATTTTATATGTCTGCATACTTATACACATATATACATGTGTATATTAATATTGATATAGAATAAAAAAAATTCAATCAAAATCCAGATGAATTTCACATGCAAACTTTCCCTCAGTTGAATAAATAAATATTGCCAGTAAAACCAAATTGTTGATTTTGCTGACCCAAAAGAATATTCGCCAATTAAATATTGAAAAAATAGAAATGGCTCTAATTTTTTTCCTTGAGTAATAACAGACGAACATCATTAAAACTGGTTGATTTAAAAAATTAAATTTCTTGTTCTTGATCACTAATAGTTATTAATAATAACATTGCATGTATTAATTCTGATTTGGTTCCATTGTTACGTCCAGAAACTTCACGGTTTCCTTTTCCGCAGAAAAAGAAATTCTTTTTCAAGATGGAAATAACAAAAATAAGACATAAGTACCATCCTTCAAACTGTATATAAAACTATTTTAAGACAAATCCTTATTAAAACCAGACTTATTATCGTATAACGTATCATAAAACGCAAGATTATATATAAAAGCATCAAGGAGATTAGCGCTCAAACAATGAAATTTTAAACCGACAAAAATTAAGAAGATGAATTATGTAGGGTATGGAAAAACAAATTCTTTGAACGTGAAGCTAAATGTGATGACATTTTCGAGACAATTTCTTTGAGATACATTGCGGGATTATTATTTAATTCTGCTTTTTTCTAATGTGGAAAAATCGTCTGTAAATTATGTTAAAGATTACTACTGTGCTTAATTTATTAAATGATCCTAATGATTATTTTAACGATAATTTTTAAGGAAGTTTTAAAGAAGTAGATAAGTACTTATTGCAACATGATTAAATCATGTGTAACAATTTAGATTAAATATAGTAAGGCTACATTGTTCCTTTTAGAGTAATCACTGATTACGTCTTAACGAGAATCGATAAATAGCAAATAAGATGTAACTCAAAGTCTGCAAAGTTTTCTACTTCTGGCATACAAGAGATAATTTTACTTCCTAATTTACGTGACGAAAAGTAGGAAGAATATAAGCTTTCACTTTTTCTCATGTAATCATACGTAACACAATGCTAATTACAAGTGTGAACGATGTTAACACATTATTCACTTCCGTTTCACAGATTAAATTTCAATATGCAAATACTCGAGATCGTAATATGACACTTAACATGGATAAACTGTTCATCGCACTTTTTTATAAGTTGCTTTTCAATTTAGTCCAATGCTGAATGCTGGTGTCGCACGTATCTGTCACGATCTGTCAAGTAGAAGCGCGGTATCTTTTTGATATCTTCAATAACGGAAATGCGCTTTGACGCTACAATGCCTGTCTAGGATATTTGCTGATAAGTAGAATAAAATAGAATGCGTTACATATGTGTAAACCATTTAGTTAAAAAGTTAAAAAGCAAATTATTCGAAAATTAATCTATAATTTATTAACTTACTGACAAATAACTTTTTCTTTTTCTTTCTCTTCTAAAGTAATTACGAAATTGTATTTTCTTGTATGTTAAACAAAAGAAAAAAAACCACATAGAAACAGAATTTTATAAAACAACAAAGGTGTATAATTGTGAGATTTAATTTGTGTTAAAAAATTCTTGAACGAAGAATGCAACTCTTTGTCATATACACGAATAAAAGTGCCGTACTTTCGTTCAAGTTATTAAAATTGCTATATACCTGCAACATCGCTGTCATCCTCTACGACGACACCGTCGTTTCGATAGTTAATGTGTATCAATATTTTACGTATTCTGCATAAGCAGCGCGGTAGGTATTTGCGTTTATTAGCTATAAACCCTCTGCAGGTGGGGCTCGCCGCTGTGGGACGGATTTATGGACCATGCACTTTCCGAGAAAATGACGGTCCGAAGACGAAGCTTTGTGCATAATGTGTTGTTGTGGAAAAGTGCTGAACGGGCATTAACATCCGTCTGCACTTTAATACTCCTACATGTTATTTAGTGAAATAATTGGTTGAAACTTACCTCATATCGTTTCAACTTAATTTCGTAAACTTATTTTGCAGGAAAAACGTGCAAATCGATTAAACCTAATCGATTTACTTCAAAGGAAAATTAATACAATTTTCAGACCAAAAATAGAAACATGATTTCGAGTTTAATTTGGTTTAGTTTGCTAAAATTGCGGCCAAAATTGGCATTGTATGCGCTCAGCGTTCATTCTAGAGTTTTAGCATTGTTATCTCTGGCAGGGGAATTTTCTTTTTAAAAAAATCTCATTTTTAATCATGCCTTTCAACCGAGAGAAATATTCCTCGAACGTTTCAGCAAGATATTTGGAACGCGCTTCGTTCTTCTTAATTCAATTTAGACGGAATGCTCAGGTGCGTCCTTCCATTGTTCAACGTACCAGGTGATGCAACTACGTCCTTCCGCCTCGTTATTTCTGATGCTGTATTCCTCTATTCCGTTAATTTACACGCGGCTAAATAAACGGTGTATTTGGATGTACGACGGTGTGATATTAAGATAGCATATACATTTGTGTAACAAGGTAAAATTCATGAATATACACGTGCGGGGAAACAATATTGAGATCCCTAATTACATTCATAAGACATGGTACTTGTTCTCCTAAAACGTTATATTAAATAACGAAGGACTTTTGGTAAATGTAATTTAACTTTCATGCATTGAGTTTTCTTTTAAAATCTTTTTTTTACGAGGACACAATATTACAATTATTATTTTACAGAAAAAAA